TGCGTATTGAATCAACTTAGACGATAAGGCTTTATTGCTACACAAGAAAAGGAATTTTACAATAGAAAAAAAATTGATGTCATATTTATCTTTATTTTGCATAAGGTTTTGTTGTTAGATTTCCGATACGACACTATCTAAAAAAATAGTTTACGTAACAATCTTTATCTAGAACCATGATGGATATGGAGATAACGAACAGTATTCAATAAGTCCATAATTCAATACAAAACTGGAGCAGAGCAAACGCGGACCTCTGAAACATCAGAGGAAGGATCAGGAGCCATGGAGGAGTGTGCATCCCCTGCTGACCGGTCACACCCGCTGTGATTGGGAAATAACGGAAAAATCCGTCGTCAATTCATTGTATAAATAATGGACTAACAATCAGTATAAAAACGTCATTCAGCATTTCACTGTATGATAAATTGTATTTGCTGACAAGTCATTGTATCGACCGAAGAACTTACGAAATGATGACTTTAAACGAGACTGCTCATATTCTTGCTTTATCAACTTGTTTGTCAATAATTTACCTAGTTTTAGAAATTGTTCATACGTACAGCATGCTCTTGTGTATCGAATCAACTGAGATTTATAAACGCCGTACGCAGGTGGTGAAGGTATACTGTTGCATAAGTAAGGGAAGTTGACGATAGAAAAGTTCAAGTCATCACGTATATCATAGAACTTGGTTGTTTGATTACCATTAACGTCTTTTTGATTGGAAATCCCAAAATATTTTTCTTACAGAACTCTGTAAAACGATTCTGTAAAACTTATTTATTTATTTAATTATTGTGAGTTTCACTGAATCTATATTAGATAGGATCAGGGTGCATGAAAAATGTAGAGATAACGAACAGTATTCCAGCTCTAAAGTACATTAAACATTATGAAATAGGAGTGGAGCAAACACGGATCTCCAAAACATCACAGGTAGGATTAGGTTTCATGGAGATGTGAGCATCCCCCGTCGATCGGTTACACTCGCCGTGTGTTCTTTGTCATCTTCTTTTTAATGTAATGTTCTGATAGGACAGATATGTCAGGTTTCACATAGCAAAAATTGGACTTTGTCACAATACTCGTGTGAAACCGAGGTAGCATTGTGTGAGCTTATTGCTCAAAGTACGTCTAGGTTGAAATAGAATTTTGACATGTATATTGAAAATAATTACAAATTTGAAACATGTGCTAAAAATTGTTTAGTAGACACACAATTAAAGTTGTTCTGTACACTTCAATCGTCGATTTTATTTGTTAAAATAATCACATACTATTAAAATATTTTCAGTGTATTCATGTCATTCAAAAACAAAATTATTATACGAGTTGAAATCTAAACGATGGGGTGTGAATCTTAATATACTCTCAAACTGAAATCAATTTCGTGGGGGCAATGAATAGGGTAGCTGTTATTTTATTTATTTTGCTTTTATATCACTTCCATGAAAGAATTAAAATTTTATTCTCATTCAGCCTCATCTGCATTGAAATTGAATATTTAGCAAAATATCAACTGATATCATGCTGTGAATTATAGATATCTTGAATGTCAGTAAAGACAAAAATCATCAAGTGAAAAATTTTGTATTTGCTTCCACCAAATTAATGAAAAATTTATACCTTTTGATAAAAACCAGAAGTGGGAGCCTGAGTGCATTACACTCTAGTTTCATATAGCTTTTTGGAGAAACTCCTTTGTTCTTTTGTGTTTAAAAAAATAAAGAAAATTATATTCATTCAGTTTTCTTCAGAAGGTGCAAAAGGAAACGTGGGATTAAACAAAGCTAGAAATATTGAAACTGTGTGTCTGCATTATTTCCTGTAAATGATGCTTTTACGAGATTTTTAAAAACTAGCATTATAACCAACAAGATTTCCAATATTTTTAAATATTCATTTTATTTTATTCCAAAGGATCAAATGTGTTTTTTTTAAAATGAAATCGTGGGAGAGAAAAAATATTCTCTGATCCGTTTGTTAATGTTAAAAATTGAAATATGATTTAAAGAACACTTTGAAATATATAAATATACATGTACCGTATCCATTTCAAAAGTAAAATTACTCTCATCATGTGAAAGGTGTTAACACATCTAGCAAGTGATTGACTATTTTGTCTTTGCACAAAGTTTACTTTATTTGAAGCTTTCATGTCCGTCCTATCATCTTTCAATACATACATGGTTTTCATAATTTCTTTCTATATGGGTGAGATAGCAGTCACATCAAAAAACAACACAGTCAGAGAATCCCCCGCTGATAAAAATAAATAGTAATTCATTGTTAAGAATAAGATAAAATAAAGCAAAATTAGTTTTATGGTATGTATAAAGATCTCATGTATACGTCAGAGTAATGTAATTATAAAGACTTGACATATTAAGTTCAAGGTTAAAAAAAAATTATCTTAAATATTCCGCCGCAATTTCCATTAGTATCAATGCCGTCCCGTTTATACCAGACATATTTTTGTATTCATATTCGAAGAAAACACTTGCTGTGGCTTTCAACTCGGCATTAAGAGATATTGACGACGTATTACCAATTAACAATTGCTACTTCTTTTCATATGTTGACTCGATTTATCCCGGTGAGCTTGAAAAAAAGCAACCCAGAGTCTGGCACACGTGTTTCATATTTGGATGATTTACTAGGAAAATAAATTTATGGTAACCTAACAACAAAGCCTGATTATAAACGCGATGACTTTACTTTTTCTATAGTTAACCCCCCTTACGTATGTTGCAATCCACCCTTATCACCTACAGATGGGGTTTGTGTCTCCCATTTGATTGAATATGCAAAAGCAAACAAGTTCATAAAAGAATGATATAAACACCCGTTTAAATCAAAATTTTGGTCGATACAGTGACCATCAGCGAGTGCAGTTTGTCATTATGCCGAATCCTGGCCGACGTCTTTCATTTGTATCTTCAGGGCATTTTTAAAACACCTAAGTTTTTTCTCTATCAGGACTAGGAGAACACGGTCTACAGGTGATGCTTAGTCCTTAGCCTCTATGACACCTGATTCCACGTCAGATCAAGTTTGCTAGCCAAGGGTTTTTGATACGCTACTCTCCTCATAAACCATTGGCATACGGTGTTAAAAAAGTAGAGATTTTTTCTCAAGTTGTGATCGGAGTGGATCGACATGGATCAACCAATCAGCATTTTTTTTTTGTAAATGTTGATATCTGCGTTTACTTTCGGGAATGAAAAAAGCAGGTAAACAACAATCACATGCTATTCTATGATATGTTGTCATCTAATATCTTAAGATATGTGCAAAATATGATTATGAATCTATATTGAAGATTAAGATTTGCACTTCAAATAACAAATGAAAAATTCAAACCTTCTTGTTAATTTTTCTTTAATAAATGATTTAAATACTTTATTTTTTTGTTGTTGATGACGCAATCTGTGTGTCTCTGTTCAAACTCGAGATCACGTGACGAAAACAATCCCTTATTTTCAAAGAACCGTATGCCAAGGGTTTATGAGGAGAGTAGTGCATCAGAAACCCATGGCTGGCGAAGATTACCACTGATGTTTTCAGAGGTTCATTTTAGCTCTGCTCCTATTTGTGTTGTTTATATGGACTTTTGAGTTCAATTACTATTCGCCTTCTTCATATTACATAATAGAAGAGTTAGATGAATATAATGAAAATAGGTGACTTTCTTTTTATAATCAACTGCACTGCATATAATCTGATTTGGTTATTTATCGCTTTGCAATAGCGTTGACGTACTATGAACCACGATATTAATATGTGTCTTTGTCCTACTTCGATTAAATTTATTCTTTCATGAACTTGTTTGTCAATACCTTGCTTAAAACACTGTTCGGGCTTAGAACATGCTCTTGTATATTCAATCATGTAGGAGACGCCAACTCCATACGTAGGTCATAAAGGTAGATTGCAACATAAGTAAGGGAGGTTTACGATAGAAAAAGAATAGTCATCATGTTTATAATCAAGTTTTGTTGTTAGGTCGCCATTAATTTTTCCTAGCAAATTATCCAAATATGAAACATAATTACCAGACTCTGGGGTACATTTTTTCAAGCTCACTGGGATAAATCGAGTCGACATAATGAAAGAAAGTAACTATCGTTCATTGGTTATGTGTCGTCAATATATATATCTAACTGCCAAGTTGAAAGCCGCAGCAAATGTTTTCTTTGAATAAGTTTTGCTTTTTATGAATATAAAATATGTCTGGTAAAAACGGGACGGCATTAGTATCATACAAGCTGGAACCTAGTTAAACCTTATGTAAACTATTAATACCCGAATATATTCTTAAGAAGTTTTCGTTCAAAAATACTCCTTTAACTCTTGAAAATTACAAATACACTGTGAAAAAAAACCTTTTTAGGCACCCAGTCTGCAACACACCCATATCATAAATGAAAACATTTACTTAAGATTTTGAAATAAAATAAATTAAACTGTTCCACTAAAATCTGATATTCATCTTTCTAATCGGAAAGTTAAAGAGCTAAATTTAAAATGAAAAACTTTATAAATGAAATAAATCACGTTAAACGAAATACTTCTGCGATAAAAATGACTAAAGATCAAGAGTTTATTCGTCTACGATCCGACACTTGGTGCCAAATAGAACGTGTGAAAAAGTTCTAGTTCTTGTTTTTTTCAAAATACATCTTTAATAATTACACATATCATATTATCACAAGAGTATGTATGCTGAACAATCAACCCATTCATAATAAATTATCATTGCAATGATAATAAGATTCTAAACACATATTTTGCAATGTAATCTTTTTTTAAGTAATCTAAGCTTATATGTTCTATTATTTGGTGTTATATATTTCAGAATTATACATGTAGAACAGTTACTGGAACGTAACATACCGAGATAGTGTAATCACGTCAATCTAAGAAGATCGATCACACCATATGTTTTTCTTATTTAAAAAATGCAGACTTCTTTAATATTAAAAAAAATAAATCAATCTCAATAAAACATTTAATGAACGAAGACCAAATAACTGATCCTGATAACATCTTTAATAAAAGATACATGCTTGAATGTTTGAACTACGAGGAGAGTTCAATATACTTTGTCTTTGTTTCCTCCTTGCATAATGCCACAATGAGCACCAATTCAAATCAAGAACACTAATTAGTGCTTGACTATGAGTCCACGTAAGGCAGAAATATTTCTTCCAGTAAAATCAACATTGATTTCTCACACCGATTGAGCGTCTTGGACGGTCGTTTCTTTAGCAGCCACGATCTTGTAAGAGGCTTGTTTACCATTATCCGGATTCTTAAAAGGACAGTGCGGCAAGAGAATCATAAAATTTTGACGGAAAGTTCTGCTGAATACACAGTATATAAGAAAGTTTACTGCGGCATTTATCGTCAGTAGAGTGTCTGAAAACTCTCGTATCCCCCTTTCGAGATACGTCCCCTCGTGGTAACCTAACCCAAGGACGGACATAATGGCGTCCGGAAGAATACAAATCACAAACACCATAATGACCACGATCATCATTAATGTAATTCTGTTCCTTTGGGTATTTTTCTTATTTGCTCGCACTTTCCGAAGGGAAAAAATAATACATGCATTGAGTATAATGAGAATTATCAAAACAATGTTACTTCTCAGAAAGTTCAATGACCACGTGTAATACATCTTGAAATCCTCGTTTCTCCACAATTCCGTAACGTTCAAATCCAACTCCGTTATATTGTCTACAATTTTGACCGTTTTTTCATATCGAAATGCACAAGGCAAAGAAATAGAAATCATCACCAAATAAATTACACAGCTAATAACAATGGCTCGTAATCGCGTGCACATAGTCTTTGCTTTTATTGGATAACAAACAAGTATAAATCTTTCAGTTGCAACGGAGACTGTCAACCAAGAGGATACGCAAGTAGAAATATTAAAAATAAAATGAGCAGATGGATAGATATTGACATATGCGATTATGGCGGCTGCTGGGTTTGTCCTTTGTAGAACTAAAACAATGAAATAAATCAGGTCGTTGATAAGTTTAATAGAATCTGAAATCGCAAGGGCGGCAAGGAAAGCATTTGTAGAGGTCTTCATGTTTTTCATGGACAACACAATTAAAGAAAGTGCATTTCCGACAAGTCCGGGTATGCAAATCACAGGATAGAGTATCATTCCACAGATAAATTGTGAAGTCTCGTAAAAATCCTTATACTCTTCATCGTCCGTTAAGTTTGTTGAATTCTGCATTTTATTGGTCTTGACAAAAAACAACAACAACCTTCTTGATTCTCTCTGCCTCGTGATGTATATAAAATAAAACTAAAAGAAAGTTAAGTTTATAAACGGTTTGTCCGGAAGTCTGAATCGCTTAGAGGCGGTTCAAAATGGTTCTGGTAACATGGCTTTAAAGTTTATTTCCCTCTTGAAAATGACCCTTTTCTGTAATGCACCATAGGAGGAACACATAACCAGCACCCTGAAAATAGAAAAGAACGTGTCAATCAAGATTGGCATGGAATGGCTACTGGTTAATTGGGTGCTTACAGAAAATGAAACTATTATTTTGACAAAAAACATCAAAATTCCATTTTCCAGACCCAAAACACAACGGGGAATTCATTTAAACGGCGCTTCATAGGTTCGTGTACCGTTTATCTTTTACTCTTGAGGATATTTTGATATGATAAAAGATTGATATTGTAATAATAAAAGCCTATTACAATATGCTTTCATCAAAATGTACAACACTGAGCTATTCAGGGCTAAAGGAAATCGAAAGCCGGAAAATGTACCCAAGAGATGACCACAGAGAAAGCCTGATATCGATCGAAGCAAGCCTGCTTTAAAATACCGGTAACTTTACTTTCAATTTTAAAAACATTACTTTTCATCAAAGCGTTTTCATGTTTTTATGAGTTCGTAAGGAAACGCTACTCTATGAACGATCAAATGATCAAATTACTGCTTGCCAAGTAGTTACATACATTTGTATTTCAAAATTCCGCGTGTCTTATTTTCATTTATGTTACAGATACTAGTAAACGTTTATATATGATTGATTTTTCCTGTCTAAATTAAGAGAACCTTTGTGAATGTCTAAATTATCGTAAAAACTCCCATTCAGAAGCTATAAAATTATCAACACATGAACATAGGAACGAGGATGAAAACCTTCAATGTCTAATGGAAACTTTTCTTATATATAATCCCTGTAAAAGAATTCAAAGAAACTGATGTTGAAATACGGCGTGAAAATTCAAGCAGTCGAGAAACAAACTATTATTCAGACACTTAGGAAAAAAACGTTGTGTTGATTAGCAATAAATTAGATGAAGTGCCAAGAAGCATTCAAGAAAAATCCCCAGAAAATCGTATCTGTTTAATTATACTTTCCATTTTATTGAATTTTTTTTCCAACCCAAGGACAGTTGGTTTTATTTATAATTTTTTCATGAGGCGTTTTAACTTGATCTTTAACTCGTCTGTACACGTTTGGAAGATCATGTAAGTTGGTTTCTACTTTCTACTTAAACGGTGACTAACATTAAAAATGCCCGAGAAACTTAATATTTCATGACATCTCATGTGCTACGTTCGATAGACACGAAGGAATGCGACAGCTCCGAGACTGACATTCTACTTGCTGATATCGAGTCTTCAGGAAATTCAATTACGGGCACGGAAATCATTATTTGTAACAAATTAAACCAATATGTTGCAGGCAAGTGTCCCCTTCGTAACATGCAGAGCCATTAACCATCTTCATTTTTTTTCGAAAAATCCCATAAAACGTGTCGTGTTTCATCTCTTAATTTTGGAAGATATGCATGACCTTGTCCTTGAATATTTGCAACTCCAATTTACAGAAAAATTGCAGGCCTCCTGGGACCACTTTTGTCGGAGATGGCATTATTCTCGTCTGATAAATGCACATCATGTTTGAAATCTGTGTTTTACAAAACACTATCACAGACATCCTAAATGATCGCTGGGACTTCGGATTGCAGGATTTAATATGAGCTAACAAATCACAGCTGAGACATAAAGTTTCTACTGCTTTTGCTTGTAGTTAGTATCTTTTCTTTTTCGCAATTGCGATTTTCACTGTAATTTGACACACTTCTTTATTCCTTTATATGACTGATCGCGTGTCAGTATATGATAAATTCTCTTCTATCCTTTTTATCAAATTACTAGATCTATCTTTCATTTTCGATAAAATTAACTATCATAAGGTAAAGATACTGCTGTGAAAAAATCTTTCCAAACTTTTAATTCTTATGTAAATTAAAAAATAAACCTTAATGGCGGTAATACATGCAAAGAAATATTTGTAACATCAGAAAATTAAAATATATATATTTTACACATATACAGTGCTTTATTTGTTTATTTCGTACTATATCATGATTTTTAAAAAGATCAAAAGAAATAAAAATAAAGCAAAACTTTATTTTGAATTCACTTGTTTTTGTTTTTTTTAATTGAGTATAAAATTGAATTCAATTCAAAATAAATGTCAACTTAACCCAAAAGGATCACAATTCAAATTTGATTGTATGTCTCGATTTTTTTTATCTAAAAAGAAAGTTTTCTATTCAAGAAAATCTTCTTTAGCCATATGTATTGCGATCGACCAACAAATTATGAAAAGAAAAACTTACCAGTTTAACAGAATAAGAATTTCCAGTTCTCCATGTTAACAATGATCCTCTCTATAGAATCACTGATTTCGAGTAAAATCATATCTGCAGCAGCAGTGCTAATATTCAATTTGATACCTAGTGTAGAACATCGCGGGGTGTAGGGAGAAATCTATTGATTTTCCCTGGTGTGTGATGATTAACATATCATGCCGATGTAATATACAGGCTAAAGTTTAAATCCGTTAAATAATTTTTAATCCTACAAAATGTCAATCATTTTTTTTTCTAAATAATTGGAAAGAAAAACAGTGAAAATGCGAAATTGAACCTCCAATAAGTTATATGCACGATACCTATTTTTTCTATCGCTGGAAGTAATTTAACTTTGTCATGATAAAATGATACACAAAAGGACATTTATAATTAACATTTGGAAACAAATGACATTCACTATCTGTGATAATTAACGAACCGTTTCATCAAAGGACAAATTTATATATTCCTTACAAAGTTCATTATTTGAGATACTCTAACAGATGTAATAAAAAGGACAAGCCTCTTTTCTTCATTATATCCATCGATCTAATTTGCCAGGCCGCAAGGAGATTGCCAACCCGTAATTATTTTTTTATCTCTATCATCTTCAATTTACCTTGTAAGTAATTATAGATCAAGTTAACCTCTAGGTATATGTACAGATGTCAGTCTCCCTTACCGGTCTACGGCTGTCATCAACACTTATATACTTCTGGTCCCCTGGCCTCTCCTCGGTGATTTACACAACTTTCTGGAAAGACAATTTAGATAAAATAAAGAATTTTTAAAGAATTTTTAAAAATTAGTTTTTTTTAAACAGTACGGACTGTTTTTGACAAAGTATATAGATTTGATTTACGGTTTGAAGCATCAATTGATTTTCAGGCTTCGTGGGCGGCAGTTCAAAATCTGTATTTTCAGGCAAAAAGATTAGGCCCTCTTTGTTTATGTGATAAATAGGTCTCTGTAGCATTTGATACTTTTACACAGAGATATTGTTTATCGATCTACTGTTATATAATCTGATTTCAATTACAGGATGCTAATCCGTGTGTAAGATAAAAACAGGAAAAATCTGTACAATGAACCTCTTGTATAGAATTTCTTCGATTGTACACGTGTATACACGGGACGGATTCTCAATGCAATAATCGGTTATTTGTGCAAATAAACAATACTGTTCCACAAAGTAGTGCTTCAGTTATTTAAGATAAGCATCGAATATGTTTTAAAATAGAGCTTTTTATATACTCCTGCAAGAACACGTGTACTAAAACTCTGATTTCAGTTTTTGTCCAGATAGAGTTCATCGGTTGTAATGAAAATAAACTTGGTGGTAAATGAAATGCACAAGTTTTCTTAAGCTGCCTTACATTTTTGAAAGATTTCATTAGAGGAACTGTCAGATATTGTATGTCTGTAAATGAACAACAATTTAAAGGCTCATGACTGGCACCCTTAATGTAGGTCATATTCAAGATTTATGAACGGGTTTGGGTTTGCATGAAACGTCCATTTAAATAATTAGAAGAATTCGAGCAAAGCTCGAAATACCTCAAAATTACATAGTTAACACTTGTGAAATTCTTATTCACTCACCATTTGAAAGCACTTCGAGAGGTGAACTTATTGTTAAAAAAATCTAAATTCTCTTTTGATGAATTAAAGGATAATCAATCATTCAAATTCAATGTGTTTTCTCATATATATAGTTTAATACATTTCAAAATTCGAGTTGTGCAAATATAAAAAGGAATATTCAGTAATTTGGTATAAAAACCAATTGTGTTAATTAGGGAACACTAACTTCAATAAACTCTTGTTGATGGTTTGGAGGCAAGAGAGTTAGTTTTCCAACGACAGCGTTAAGTCATGGTCAGAAATCACGCACCTTGAGTTGAACTGAATTTATTCAAGAGCTCCGTCATTATTTTGTAATTCTTTAACATGTATGGGAACAGGACACGAAAAGACGAAAGAACATTATAACTTAATCGCTGACGCTCTCAATTTGCAAGCAAAACTTTGCGTGTTATCAGGTCTGTCTTGAGACTTGGTTTTGGTGCATAGACAGAACTTAAGCGGATTTACGTAATTATTATGACTTATGCATTCTGTTATTATTTTTTTATTTTTTATTTTTTGTTGAAAACAAACGCATATATTATAAGACATGTGTATTCACTAATTTGTAATTAAAAAAAATTATTATGTAAATATTTTCATTGTACAATTTTTCTTTGTATATTAGATACACTTGTATATATTCTAATATTTCATTTACATTGATAATGAGAATTATTATTTATCTGCATTCTATTTGTGAAAGACTGAATGAAAAAGAAATATATGGAGATAAGGAACAGTATTAAAGCTCAAAAGTCCATTAAACAATACAAAATAGGAGCAGAGTAAACACGAACTTCCAAAACATTGGAGGTAGATCAGGTACCATGGAGGAGTGAGCATCCTCTGCCGACCGGTCACACGCATTGTGTGCTCCTTGTCATGATCGGGAAATAGCGGGAAAATCCGTCAACAATTCAGTGTGTATTTAATGACCTTACAATTAGTATGAAAAACGTCATTCAGCATTTGACTTAATGATAAATTGTATTTGCTGACAAGGTCGTTGTATCTACCTAAGAACTTACGAAATGATGACTTTAAACGACACTGCTGAAATTCTTGTTTCAGCAATTCGTTTGTCAATAATTTACCTCGTTTTAGAAATTGTTCAGAAAAAAAATTCAGGCTCGCACGTACTGAATCAACTTTGAGATATAAACCCCGTATGTAGTCAATGAAGGTATATTGCTGCATAAGTAAGGGAAATGAAGATTGAAAAGTAAAAGTCATCATGTTTATCATAAAAACTAATCAATGAAACATATGGAGATATCCGTCGTCAATTCAGTGTATAAATATCGGATTAACAATTAGTATAAAAAAAATGTCAGTCAGCATTTGACCCAATGATAAATATTATTTGCTGACAAGGTCATTGTATCAACATAACAAACTTTTGAAATGACTTTAAAGGAGACTGATGATATTCTTGTAAAAATCTTGTTTCAGCAACATGTTTGTCAATAATTTACCTCGTTTTAGAAATTGTTCATACGTAGAGCATGCTCTTGCGTATTGCATCAACTGCGATACGAGGGGTGATCAAAAAGTTCGCAAACTAATTGAATAACTTCCATACAAGAAACAATATTTGGTTTTAATGTTGATTATATTTTAAATTAATCCTCCTCGATTTTAATGCACATCAACCACCGTTCTGCGCATGCGCGAATCACGTGATATTGGCGGTCACGTGACCCCCTCCGTAGCGTTCTGTCACAAAAGTTAAAAGATTTTTCCGAGTTTTATATTTCTTTCCATGTGAGTTAATTTTTATGACAAGAACAGTTAATTTGTCAGAAATGGTCATATCTCGGCAACAGAATGGGTGGATAATAACATCCTTTCCAAAAATAAGCATGGCGACCATTAAAACACAAATCTTCTGTCTCAGGAGAGACCTTTATTCAAGGTGGATAGAGAATGGGTGCATCCTTTTTATCATATCTAATATGTTTAAAATCTAAAGTAAACGATATCTTAGGTATTTAATACTTATATCATTGTTCAAATATTCAACTATTTTTCAAAGTGCTAATTGGAGGTCTTTGATAGCAAATTGCTTAATTAAAAATACATATCTTTTCAAACTTGATTTCACTGGGCAAGATGACAAGTATCATTTTTAACCATCAGCCTTCCTTCACTAAAACGATTAATCCAATCATTAATTGAATTTATAGGAACTCATTTATCTCAATAAACTGTGTACAAATTATTATATGATACTGTAGAGGGATTTCTAAGATATTACAATAAATTGTACAGTCGTTTGTTGAACGAGTTCGACTGAGACAACCATTTTTCGTCACAAGTGACCTAAATAGTGACGTCATTTTCACATTGTGACGTCACAAACAAGGAGAGAAACTTTATTCAGCATATGCTATTTATAGACCTTGTGTATGGCTATGTGTGTACCGAATTTCATTCTAATCTGAATTGTGGTTTTGTAGATATAGAGATAGTTTGCGAACTTTTTGATCATCCCTCGTATGTAAACTCCGCATGCAGGTGATGAAGGTATATTGCTGTATATAAGTATGGGAAGTTGACGATAGAAAAGTTAAAATCATCACGTTTATCATGGCGCTTGGTTGTTAGATTACTACAAAGTCTTTTTCAAGTAAAATATCCAAATATGAAACATGTATGTCAGACTTTGTTCTATCTTTCATCTGAAGCTCACCAGGATATATCGTATCGACATAAGAATGAAAATACCATTGTTAATTGACCAAAAAAAAAAAAAAAAAAAAATAAAAAAACTCAAGAATGCAAATTTTCATTGTACAATACAATTGAAACAAGAATAAAGAACATATATAAGTTTAGAAAACAATGGGCATTTATAGAGACAAATAAAAAAATCAAACAATACAATTTTGAATTATTCAATTCAAATGAAAAAAAAATAGGAAAATATCACTGAAGACAAAAATATATGCTGCAGGGATGGCAATATATAACCACAAGATTCGTTGGTTTTGTTTAAAATATTTTTGTCTAATGGAATTTAAATAAGATATAGTACGTACATATCTAGTTTCATAATCAAAATATTAAACAGTTTATTTTTAAGCACTTACGTAATTTTTAGTCTTTTTGTGTATATTTGAACCCGTGTACTTAGTATTTCGTATAATAGTTTCTTTTAAAAAAAAAAAACAAATAATCATTACACAACAGGAGCAAGCCCCCTTGTATAAAAAAAGCTACTAAAAATTTTTAAAAATGAGTTTTTTTAATACGATTTACCTATTAATCGGGCGGAACATCTTGCGGTAACCGATTAGTAGTAATCGATCGCACATCCCTAAAAAGTAAAATCCTGAATATGACAAATCATATAAATGTTATCAACTTAGTCTTATTACATTGGAACAAACAGGGAAAAAAAGATCATGTTAGCTTGAATTTTATTGCATATTTAGTACATAGTCATGGGCATTCATCTTATCCGTGTTTCTGATAAATTTCCTTTCTCAGGATATACATTTGCCACATGAGCTTTTAAGATAACATTATCGTTAGCAATATTTTAGTTGACAGGATGCTTAATAAATACTGGAAGAAATTAATCATTAAAGTTGTCATGAATGAAATAGTTGAAGGTACCAAACAGCAATCAATCTCAAAAAGGAAAAGAAGGTTAA